AAAAAAAAAAAAAAGTAGGAGACAGACTTGGATGCCTACTCATGTTTAGCATAAGTCATTTTGATGGGCTTTAAATATTCTTGAGAGCCACATTAGCAGAAATATCACGTTATTTGAGAAATATTTTTATGCTAAAATAAGCAAGGAAGAGAGAAATTGAAAAATGGAAGAAAATAGAATCATATGGAATTGATTAGTAAATTTTTCTGAATGAATGAAATTTATTTTGTTTAGTAACGAAGCCTATCACACCTATTAATTTTTATCTAAGATAAGTTCTAAGAAATTTGAAAATCAAAAACAATTAAGAGATTTCTTCATTTCACCTTCTCCATTTGCTTTTTACTCACAATCATGGAGTTTAAAGAGTGTCACCTGCATCTGATGGTCAGGACTCAGCTTTTGTGCCCAGCGTTTTATTTAGAATCCTTTGGCAGATGAAACTGTTGACCATAGTTAGCTAGAAAACAGCTGCTTTTCTATTTTGATTTGGAGTTTAATGTTTTCCAAGGGTCAAGCACATGTAGAGAAATTTTTTCCATAGACAGATATTAAATATTTTATTTATATTTCTTTTGCTTTTAATGGTCCATGGGACTACTTAGAAAAGTGAGAGCCAATTAAAGCATTGACTGTGAATGTTTTTAGGGGGAAAAATTCTCCCTTGGGTGTATATGAATGGGTCAATATCACATTCATTTATTTTCGTTGACATTCCCAGCTACAGTGCTATATTATGGAAATACAATCTGCTGTCTATTTTGACTGAGTTAAAAATATGTAAGTTATATTTTGTGTATATATATTCTGCAAAAATACATTCTATTGTCAGGCATAACTAAAAATAAAAAATAAATATATTAAAAATGCATGAGCTCTTTCATAGTTTTGAAACGTTTCTGCCTAAAGACAAAGCTAGGTGATTCTCAATAATCTTAGTTGTGGGTCTTTATTTTGTTGCCTCATAGGTGGATACCTTGAGAAAGTGACCAGTTAGTAATCCTTGTTTAATGAGTATTTTTTATTTCATATAATTATATTTTATAGCTTCAGGTCAAAGATGAGAATAATTTACTTTCTCCTTTAACTTTGTGTTGTAATGAGAGGTTTCTTGTTTGTTTGTCTCTCTGACATAAGTCTTGGTAAATATCTGAGCCCTATTCGTTTCACGTTTCTTTTAAGGCTTGCTCCCTAAAATTTAGTGCCAACTATGAGAAAATATAAGGCTGAAAACCAGCAGGTTTGTTGTGTCCTTTAGTGGCAGGTGCAGTATGGACATAGATGAGTATGTGTCATGGGTCACAGTAGCATATAGTCATGGGTGGACCTGAGAAGCTGAGAAAGCAGGAAGGAAGCACTGTGAGAGTTACTATGGTTCATCTGTGGTGCATCCCAGATGAGGGAGAATTGTCCTAAATTCTTTGGGCATCAGCTAGCCTAGACTCTATCTCTAAACCTGAGTTCTCAATAAAACCACAGTTTCCATATGGGTAGTGTCACTTGAGGTGCAATAGAACCTCTACTCATGGTCCTCATGAAGGCAGGAGGAAGCTACAGTGACCGTCTTGCTTTTTGTGTTTGCCTGGGTAGAAGGATACATGGGGAGGTAGCTCTAGCATTTTTGTTTTTTAATTATGTTTTTATTAGTGCATTAGAGTTAAACATAATAGTGAGATTCATTATGATATGTTAATATATGCACATCACATAATTTATTCCATTGCATTTCCCTTTCCCTCCCATAACCCCCCATCTCCTTCATGTACTCTACTGTTCTTCCTTTTTTTTTATTTGTTTAAATTGATACATTAGAATTCTACATAAAGGTGGAATTCATTGTGATATATTCATACGTACCCATGGCATAATGTGGACGATTTAATTTCCTGGTACTTCCACTTTCCCTCCCCTCTTCCCTCCCCTAGGATCCCCTTTTTTCTTTTCTGTTCTCCCTTCTCTCTTTGTGAGATTGCTTTTTTTTCCCTTTAAACTTTCTTTGTTCTCTCTACCTTCCGTTTTTGAGAGAAGACATTCAACCTTTGACATTGAGAGTCTGGCTTATTTCACTTAGCATGATGGTCTCTGGTTTCCATCCACTTGTCAGCAAAGAACACAATTCCATTCTTTTTTTATGGCTGAGTAGAACTTCATTGTGTATATACAACATATTTTCTTTATTCATTCATCTATTGATGGATTCCTGGGATGATTCCATAAAGTCTATTGTGAATTGCATGGCTTTGATTATTTTAGAATAAATACTTCCATTAGTGTTTTAAAACATATTTTCTCCCCTGCAGGAACATTAAAAAAGACCTATGTTAAATCAAATGGAAGTGAACCTATGGTTACTGATGGTGAAGTTCAAGTGCCTGATGTTATTCTGATAAATACAATTTATAATGAGAGCACGATGGTACCTACTGTACATCCCAACCAACGCATTCCAGCCTGGACTATGGATGCTTCTCTCCCTGGGGATCAAAGTCACAGGAACACAAGTAAGTCTGAAGGTGCTGAATGTTAAGTGGCCTATAATGTCTGTGAAACTCTCAGATAGGTTTTGTAGCAGTTGATGCTCTGAGTTTGGTTGTGCACTGGTCTCACAAGTGAAATTCCATTCATCTGGTAAGTCTCCTCAGTTCCCTGTTCTTAACCATGAAATGCCGGCAGCTCAGCTGTGCAGATAGACTGAGTGAGAAGAGAAAATGTATTAATGTCATTCAGCATTTCTGAGATAAATTTATGTGACTTGTCCCAATCTAAAAATGGAAGCTTCTATTTTAAAGTTACTTTTTGAGATAATTAAGTTAGTAAATAAGTGACTTATTTTGTGGTTGATTCCTTGCTGGAGGAATCCTCATTCCATAACAGGAGGTCAAATAGTTCAATTTCCATAACAGGAGGTCAAATAGTTCAATTTCCATAACAGGAGGTCAAATAGCTGTTCCCCCACTTGCTTTTGAGGTATCCATGTGTTCTCTGTATGTTGATTTCTCTTTTTCCCTCTTTCATTGACTGTGCAATTTATTTTACATGTTGGTGACTGACAAATAGTCACACCTTGAGAAAAATAGCATATGCATGAGGACAGAGGGAGGGATTTGTTAGCTATTCCAGGAAGAGAGGAGGGAGAGAGAGAAAAGACAGTGTGGACCCAGGGCCAGTGAGATGACTCTATTCCTAAATAGACCTCAGGTCTTCAGTAAAGTTAGCTTCTCTACTTCTAGAATGCCCAGACCACTGCCAGGCTGAGAGTGCCACGTGGCTATGAGCAACTAGAGGAAAAGATCACTGCTCTTCTTTTCTTGGCCACTCTGGCAGAAAACCATTCTGGCCTACTCCGAGTCAGTGAGGTCACAGTCCCATCCCCAGGCGTCAGGGATATCTCTAAAGAACAGTTTCCATTTAGAGCTTCTAAAATCCTGGGCATCTCTGGGAACCAAGCCTGGTTCCAAAAAGTCATTGTGAGTGCAGTCTGTGTGGATCCCAAGCACTTGGACCTAGTGTCCAGCAGCTTGAGAGGTGAAAAGCAGCCTCAGGAGAGACCACAGTGCAGCCTAGGTGCCCTGGGGTTTCAGGGACCAGGATCCTTTCTGTGGAGTTTGTGTCCAACTTGGACCCCCTGGGCAGCTTTCATCAGACCTTTGAACTGTCCTTGTAGCTTCACCTTCTTCCTGCGGTTGAGCTTGGTTCTGCAGAGCAGGATGTAGGCATAGGGACCAAGCCCACATCTTCACAGTACCCTTTGCTTTCTTGGACTTGTGCTCTGTCCCAGGAGTGGCTTTCTTGCCTGTGGATGATGGATGTCAGAGCCTCCAGCTTGGTACTGATGGAGGCATCTCCATTTCCTCCTCCTCAGCCTCTTTCTGCTGCTTATACTTCTTCTTCCATCATGTCAGCCATGTCTTCATCCTCACCTTTAGTGGTGTCCTCTTCCTCCACCTTGTCACCACCTTCCTCCCCAAGTGGTATCAATGGGCCATCAGTGCTTACCTTGAAGCCATGGTCCTTCTTCTTGCTGTGGCCAAGGACTCATTAGACCACCTTGGGAGGAAGTTGAGGGGCTCGTCTGCCCATGGCAGACTTGACCATGTCCCAGGTATGGAAGGCCAGCAGCAGGCCACATGGTCTCTAGCAGCTGCCCCACTGTTTTCATCCACATCAATCCCTTTAAATTCCAAAAGGAGGTGGGTCAGGGCCTGTTAACTTTCTTGCTGTGTTTCAGCAAGGGATTTTTCTAGGTTTCATTCTATTTATGGGTTTTAACTTTTTCTTCTAATACATTTTATAAATACTTGAACATATGTTGAGCTTTAAGGAAAGGGAAAAAACTCTTTGACCCCCCCAAGAGATTGGAGGTCACACACTACAATAACCTACATACTCCAATCAAGAATTAGTGGCAAGAGTAGGTTGATGTGCTGAAAGCTTAATGTGTTCTGTTCTCTTTGATAACCAGTCCCTAAATCTCCTATTTCAGATAAAAATACATCATGCCTTTTATTCATGCACTTTTTAAAATAACTGCTTTTTGAGATTTAATTCACATACTCTGAAACGCACTCTTTCAATGTGTATGATTTAGCAGTTGCACAACCGTCACCATTAATTTTGGAATATTGTTATCTCTGCAAAAAGAAATTCCATCTCCATTGCTCCCTATTGTCCCTTTCTCACAGCTCCTTTCCTAAATGAATCTACTTCCTGTCAATAGATTTGCATATATGAACCTTTCATGTAAAAGGCATCATATAACACATGATCCTTTGTACCTGGCTTCTTACAGTTAGCATAATGTTTTCAGGGTACATTCATGTCATAGCTTGATACATTTGACAGCTTGATACATTTAGCTTGTGTCAAGATTTTATTCCTTCCTAGTGCTGAAAATATCCATTATATGGATACACCACTTTCTTTCTAATACATTGATCCATTGATGGATACTTTAGCTGCTTCCACCTTTTTAGTTATTGTGAACAATACCATGATTATTCATATACAAGCTTTGTGAAGACATTTATTTCCAGTTCTCTTTGGTTTATACTTGGGAATGGGATTGTGTTTATTATCTACTTCCTTAATTATCTTCTAGTTGTTCTATTCATAATTGAGTGTGGATATTGAAGTCTCCAACTACTATAGAACTGTTTATTTCTTTCTTCAATTTTGTCAGTTTTTGCTTCACATTAGGTATATAAATGTCACTAGGTATATAAATGTTTATAACTGGTATTCTTTTTGAATTGAACCTTTCATTAGCATATAATGTTCTTCTTTGTCTCTTGGAACTACTTTTGATTTAAAGTCTACTTTTTTTTGATATCAGTACACCCATCCTGTTCTCTATTGGTTACTATTAAAATGGAATATCTTTTTATATACTTTAACTTTCAATCTATTTGTGTTTTTGGATAAAAATTGAATCTATTGTTGATAATAAAATTTTTATCATATTGAATTCTGATAATCGTTGTCTTTTGATAGGAGAGTTTAATCCATTTATATTTAAAGTAATTGCTTATAAGGAGGGACATACTTTTCTCATTTTGCTATTTTTTCTCTATTATGAATAATTTTTTCCCCTCATTTCCTGCATTACTCTCTTCTTTTGTATTCAGTTGATTTTTTTTATGGTGTGACATTTAAATTCATTTATCTTTTCCTTTGGTATATATTTCATAGAAATGTTATATTTGATTACCATTTAACAGACTATAGTTATAATACTCTAACTTGAATTTGTACCAGCTTGACTTTAATAACATACAAAATAACTCTGCTTCTTTAGCACTTCTGTCACACCCTTTTTGATGTCACAGAATTGCATCTTTATACATTGTGTACCCTAAAACATAAGCAAATAGTCTTTCAAATACATTAACCTCTTAAATTATGTAGAAAATATCAACTTATAAACCAAAATTAAAAGATTACTATGTTTCAGACTAATATTTTTTTAAAAGAACTATTAGTCTCTTAAATTCAATATGAAACAAAAAGTAAGTCACAAACCATATTTATAATAATACTTGTATAGTTGCCCAGGTATTTATATTTATTAAAAATGAGATCTTTATTTTTTTTAGATGGCTTCTAGATACTAGTGTCCTTTCATTGCAACCTATATGACTTTAGTGCAGGGAAGTTCTAGTGGTAACAGATTCTCTCACCTTTTATTTATCTACAAATGTCTTAATTTCTCTCTCACGTTGAAGAACAGTTTTGCCAGATATAGAATTCTTGATTGGTTGTTTTTTTCCCCTATAGTTCTTAGGGAACTATAGGGAAAAAAAACTGCCTTCTTAGCTTCTAAAGTTATGGATGAGAAAAGTTATTATAGACAGTCTTATTGATGGTCTATTATATGTGATGAATTGCTTCTCTCCTACTATTTCCAAGATTTTATGTATTGATCTTTTGAAAGTTTTATTATAATGAGTCTTAGTGTGATTCTCTTTGAATTAATCTCACTTGGAGTTAGAATTCTTTAATGTTTATATTCATGTTTTCCATCAAATTAGGAAAGTTTTCAGCTATTATTCCTTGAGATAATCTCTATGGTCCTTTCTTCTCCTTCTGAAACTTCCAGAACACAGAGATGGGTTCACTTGATGGTGTCCCACAGATCCCTTAGGTTCTGTTCACTTTCCTTAGATCTTTTTCCTCTTTCTGTTTCTCAGACTTGATAATTTTCATTGTCCTATTTTCAATTTGCTGATTCTTTCTTTTGATGGTTCAAATCTGCCTTTGAATTTTGCTTGTGAAAATTTTCTTCCTGCTGTGGTACTTTTCAGTTCTATACATATATTTTTGTTTCTTTTTAGGTTTTCTCTATATATTAATATTACTAGTTTGTTGATACATAATTTTGGGGGCTTATTTTTTTTAAATTTTTGAGCATATTTTAGACAGTTAAAGCTTTTTTTGAATAGATATACCATCAGTTCTTTATTATTATTATTATTATTATTGATTTGTCTTTTCCTTTGAATGGGCCACATTTTTCTTTTTCTTTGTATGCTTTGTGATGTTTTTGGTTGCTATTGTTGACAACTGGGCATTTAAATCTAACAATGTTGGGGCTGGGGATGTGGCTCAAGGGGTAGTGTGCTCAACTGGTATGCGCAGGGTGATGGGTTTGATCCTCAGCACCACATAAAAGTGAAATAAAGATGTTGTGTCCACCGAAAACTAAAAAATAAATATTAAAAAATTTTCTCTCTCTCTCTTTAAAAAAAATTAAATCTAACAATGTGATGACTCTGAAACTCAAATTCTCCCCCTTACTGGAAGGTTATTACTTGTTTGTTTGCTTGCTTACTTGTTTATGCGTTGGCTTACTTTATCTTAACCCTGGGCATACATAATCACCTTCCAATTTTCTTTATATATGCAATTCATTTCAAATCTTCTAGTCCTTCATATTTGGCTCCCAAAAGGAGAAAAGGAGAAAAAGGGAACCAGCCCTTCAATTTCCCTGGAAGTCACTTTAGCT